GACTTGGCAAACATTTTTGCTAAATTGAAAAGTAAAGCAAACAAGTGTAATATATATATGTATGTGTGGTTTATATAGCTGCACACCTGACTTATAATCGGGCATCAGCTCGGAGATAAGAGATTACTAGCTGGCCCCATATATTATTATACTAAATGTATTTCATCTTATAGTTATAGACGATTTATGAAAATAGAATGTAATAAACCTGTATTTAAACTCTTTTAGTTTGTTTTACGTTCTATTTAATATTTTTCTCTTCAATATTTTGTATTCTCCATATTTCTTATAACCTCTAAAATGGCGCCATCCTCAATTAGCGATGACAATCACGTTGCTAGGCGGATTCACTATATATATATATATTAAAGATGGGGTGCTGGCAGGTTGACGGTGGGCTGTCATTTTGATATTCGATGCGAGTCGATTAGATTCAGATTCCTGCACATACGCATACGAGTTATACACAACGACTGTTCCGTCCGATCATTAACATTGGCCAATTGCTATTTCCATTTTGGGTTTATTGCTCGACAGCCTTAATGGGAATTGTGCAATCCAAGTTTTGTTTGGACAGTTGCAATGTTTATGCATTGGTGTAAATAAATAAATAGTTATCTGTTCCCCTGTTGCTTTGTTTGATTGTAAGACATAAATAAATAAGATGTCGTGTGTTCGAAGAAAAGATTTGCTTTGTTTGGCCATTTAAAAGTAATGAATTAAAATAAGCAAATAAATTTGCTTTAAAGGGCGAATACTACTGCCCAGTATTGTTTAAGCTTCAGCTTGCATTTGACGCTGATTAAAAATAAGTGATGGTGAAAATTCCTTAAAATGCATAAGCGAGGAATTAATTAATAAAGTGTGGCTTGCAGTTCATAATAAACGTCAGTTTAATTAATTACTTTCGCAGCTCTCGTCGAATTCTTGAGGTTTCTCCATCTTTGCTGCCTCGTTTAGCCTTTTTTTTTATTCTGTCTCAGCACTTGGCTTTCTCCCTTTTTCGAACTCATACCCCACGGATTTCCTATTGCTTTGTCTCAGAGCGATTAACATAAATCCCTGGCACGTGCTAAGACTCGCTTCGTCCCGGTTTTATTTGCATTCTAAAAATTGTATGCAAATGCCAGGGGATGAGATAGAGCTCTTTGTTTTGTTACAACTGTAAGCGTTGGAATAAATGCGATAAGAATGCCGAAATAAATCAAAACCAGAAGCAAGCGGACAACCCGAGATTCAGATAGAGCCACAGATAGTAAGGTGTGAAAATTTGTGTGCAATCGCCGTGAGCGAAAATTGGAAATCTGGGCTGTGCTGTACTGATTTTCTTCTGCTCGGAAAACCTTGGGCTTCGGGCAACTTTCCGGAGAGCCAGTGGGAAAGAGGGCAGGAAAAGAAAAGAAAATGGAAATGGAAAACTGACAGTCTGAGGTCATTCTGCCAATTAGAATGCAGCGAAGGACTGCGCACGATGATGATGAAGTTGATGGCAGGCAAGGGGAGGCAAAATGTGGAGATGATGATAATGGGAATAGAATTTTAGAGTTACGGCACAGTGGTCGTGCAACCCAACAGTTTACCCTAAATATCTTTCCTAAATTTCACCCTAAGGGATTATTAAACTTAACTTCAATGACCTCCCTTTTTCTTTTAACCAGCAGCTTATCATAAATATTAATAACTTTTTAAATAAACTTATTTTGTTAGCCAGAGTTAAGCTGTAGCTTAAAAAATTTAAACTAATTATGAACCAGCTTAAAATTTGTTATGATTATTTAATATTCGTTGATCAAATCTTTGCTACACTCATAGCAAAATTAACCCTAAATTTTAGAAATTCGCCCTAAAACTTTATTTTTTCTAAATCCAAGAAAAGATTTCTATTTTCAAGAAATTTTTTTCTCAAAACAAGAAAACTTTTCTTAAATCAAGAAAGTGTTTCTCAAATGTAGAAATTGTCGCCATAAACTAAACTCACCCTAAATCCAAGAAAGAATTTCTATATTTTAGTAAAAATGGTACTTAATTTAAGAAATTTTTTTCTTAAAATTAGGAATTCTGCCCTAAAAAATTATTTACCCTAAAAAATAGAAAAATTTTCTCAAATTAACCCTAAAAATTCTATAACCCTTAAAAATAGAAACGCTTTCTTAAATATAGAAATATTTTCTTAAATATAGAAATATTTTCTAAAATATAGAAATATTTTCTAAAAAATAGAAATTAATCCCAAAATATAGAAATATTTTCTATAACATAGGAAACATTTTCTAAAATGACCATAAAATTGTTCTAACCCTGTCTGAGTAGCCTAGGGGTTAGAACGTCTGTCCAGAAATCTAAGCACCGCAAGTTCAATTTCAGCTGCCAACATCTTTCTTTTTTTCTTTTCTTACTTGTGTTATAATCACAGATGAGAAGTAATGCTTAGAACGACTAAAGGTTTTACCTCTTATGGAAAAGTAATTAAAATATTTTTTGTCATATGAAATATCATCTTAGAAAATTTATTTTAAATATTTCGACTTTCACAGTTGCGACTTAACGAGTTCTAAAAACTTTTTTAGCCTAATATTCTTCGCAAACACCCCATCATATAGTCTTTGGTTTGCCATGCGCTCTTCGCGCGCGACCGTGGCTCCATTCAATGTCTTTGAAATCACGCGCGGGAGACCTGGGTTCGAATCCCACCGACGGACGAATAAAATTAAAAGTTTTTTCGGATAAGATACTTATCGGATTTTACTTGTAAGAACTGAAATAAATCATAATTGTACTAATTTCTCTCTCTCTTCCGCACAGAATTACAGTTGAAATCGATATTGGCAAATTCATTAGTGCAATACTAATACAAAATAGGTGACTTTTCTGAATGAAAAGCGAAGTGCTTAAATCATATATATGTACATATAATCCTGAATGAAAAATTACATCATGCTGAATGTAGGCACATTTTTTCTAATTTTTAGAAAAAATACCCTACATTTAAGAAATATTTTTCTATTTTTTAGAAAAGTTTTTCTTGGATTTATGGCTTTTTGCCTTAGATTTTAGAAAGGAACGCCCTTAATTTTAGAAAAATTTACCCTAAAATTTAAGGTGCGATGCCTTTGAAGTCAAAAATAGGGCGAATTTCTTGTTTTTAGGGTTAATTTTGGTATGAGTGTACTGCGATAAAAACTAAGTGTGGACATAGTCCCACTTACCGAGTGACCACTGTAACAAAGAATTCACTACAGAAAACGACAGAAAAAGAAAATAATGTGCAGATTGATGATGAGCTGGCAAATGATGATGGTGGTTGCATCAAGGATGAGTTTTATCCATTAGAATTCAACAGCGGTCTGCCTTCAGCAATCCGGGTAAGGAGAGCCAGAAGGCGGAGGGCGGAGGGCAGCGTAATGCAGTGAGAAATGCCGGAAGAAAGTAATACATTCACCCTAAGTAACCCGTAAACAGAAGCCCGTAAACCGAAACCAGCAGAACGTTCCGCACATCATTGCAAATGCATCAGAGGTCGTGGAGAGGAAAAGCGGCAAAGTTGCAACGGCGAAGACAGACGGAAATGGAAATGGGCTAAAGGACACGTGTGTATCGCCCTTGCAACATTGCAACATTGCAACATTCATGGCTTGTGGTCGACTTAACCCTTTAAGCACTAACGATGCCAAACCACATTGAAATGAGGACCTTTGTAAATAAACACGGTGGTAAACAGTAAAAAAATTGTTAGTGCTTAAGCTGGAAAGATTTAACAATAACTGTGAATATATAAACAGAAAAAGAATTATCTGATTGTTATATATTTAAAATACAATTTATTGAGTTCTGTATATTCTGTTTTGCTGTAAAAACCCATGAAATGCTTAGTACACATTGGTATGAAGAAAAATATGAACTACATATTTCCCACAATTTCAATCCACAATAGAAATTCCAACAAAACTTATCAAATTAAATATTCCTGATTCACTAGGGACGAAAGGGTTAAGGTTCGGTTCACATTCCGTTCGTTTTCGGTTCGTTTTGATACCGATGCGGGTCGAGTTCTGTGGGATGGCATATTGTGCATGGAGAATCGGCAGAGTTGGAGTTTTTAAGGGGGTACTGGTTTCAACCGACAAAACAGTTTCGGTTCAGTAGACTCTAAAGTGATTGCGGCGACACAACGGGCGGGCTTCGGTGGATAAACGTAGCCTTGGGCTCTCCTGGCCTCCTGTTGTCCCAGTGTCCTGGTGTCCTGGTGTCCTGGCCTCATGGCCACCTCTTGCTTAATGGTCAACAATGTGGTCGAAGGATTTTCGGCCTACTCAAAGAGCTCCACACAAACGGGCAGCCATGAAAAAGCAACCACCACCTCCCCAAAAGCCTGATTGCAAAGCCATCAAATTTGTCGTTACAGTTCTTCGGTTGTCAATTTAATCTAGCCACTGGGTTGTATCGTTATGTCAGGAATGCCAATGGGGGAATCAGGGGTTTTTGAACCACTTTGAGCCGGTTGTGTGGACATTTTTAAAACCTGTTCGGTAAGCGGTTTTAATTAGGGTCGAAACTAGACGAACACTAATCATATAGTAGCCGTATAACTTTATGGCAATTAGAAGGCACAAAAAAGGGTCAATATCTTGCCCATTTGAGTGGCTCTTAGGCACGTCCCAAATTTCATTAAATATTCAACTGCTTTTAAAGCATTTTGAAATTGTTAAATTATTAATGGTTGAGTTATAGACTTAATGGTTATATAACCTCTTATTTAAATATTATTAATTATACTGGTTTTTTATCGATGACACTTTAAAATATTGATTTATCTTTATCCCAATCTAATTAGGATCTTGTGGGAGATGTTCTGACAAATGTCTTTTACATATTCTCAATTGAACTGCAGATTTTATAATATTAAATATTTTAGGAAATTTCATAGAAATCATTATTATTATTATAAACTTCTCTCAAAAGTTACTCTTGTACTAAGCCCCTTTCAAAACTTGTACTTACAGCTGCCAGTACTACGTGAAGAGCCATCCATGGGTGCTGGCCTACCAGGGCGTGATCACATTCTTCGTGCTGGCCAACTTCACGCTGGCCACCTTCATGGACCCGGGCATCATCCCCAAAGGTATGTAGCGTGCTGAGCAGGGGCCAGCGCCAATCGTCACGGCCTAAACTTGACTGCATTCTAGCCTCGCCCGACGAAGACTGCGAGGAGGAGCTGCGCGCCCCGCTTTACAAGAATGCCGAGATCAACGGCATCACCGTCAAGATGAAATGGTGCGTCACCTGTAAGTTCTACCGCCCGCCACGCTGCTCCCACTGTTCCGTCTGCAATCACTGCATAGAGGTGAGTCCCGATCCTTCAATTCACTCCCTGATCCCTGGGATAACATCATTTTCTCTCCTTGTTTCAGACCTTCGATCACCACTGTCCGTGGGTCAACAACTGCATCGGCAGGCGGAATTACAGATTCTTTTTCTTCTTCCTCGTATCGCTCTCCATTCACATGCTGAGTATTTTCTCGCTGTGCCTGGTCTACGTGCTGAAGATAATGCCAAACATCAAGGACACGGCGCCCATTGTCGCGTATCCTTTTCCAAACACAAAAGAGAAAACTTGTTATATAATTTATTTGATCTTCAAGGTTACCTATACTAGATTTATAGGGTACATTATGTATGTACTTTGTTACAGTTTTGTAAAAATATTTATTTACTTGAGATATGCAGGCATATTTATGTTCCGCCTATTGGTTTGGCTTAACTCTCTTCGTATATAGCATAATCCTGATGGGCCTGGTGACCATTTTGGCCATCCCTATTTTCGGTTTGACCGGCTTCCACATGGTGCTGGTGTCGCGGGGTCGAACGACCAACGAACAGGTCACCGGAAAGTTCAAGGGCGGCTACAATCCGTTCTCGCGCGGCTGCTGGCACAATTGCTGCTACACACAGTTCGGACCTCAGTACCCCAGGTGAGTCAGTCCTTCATTCAGAATGCTCAATTATCTACTCGAGGGGGGGAGTGCGGAAATTACCATAATAAATATCCAAATTGAACAGCCATTTATTGGCTTCGAATTACGTGTCCTTGGGGAAGCAATTTAACTGCAAATTGAAATAATAGTATTGTAGATTGTAAACTTCCAAGTTTGATAGCCAATTATCTTGAGTTTCGATCCCTTAGGGATATACTTTGTTCAATTAACAGACCGTATTAAATGTCATCACTGTATTGGAAGCAAATATAAAGGTTTTTTTGGATTTAAATAAATGTTTCCTATGATTCCCCATCAGCCACAAAAAAAGCACGTACAATTTCATAACACAAATGACACATACCAGAAATATGACCACCATTTATTTTAAAAGTATTTATCTTTGGCTTGCAGTCTCCTGACTCACAGATTTTTATAACTTATATAATGAAGTTCATACGATAGCTACTTTATACAATTAACGAATGTTTGTTGTTTCCAGTATGTGTCACCAAATTTCTATATAAAAAAAAACACAAAAAATAAAGAAGGGGGTATACCATTGTTGAAGTAAAGTAATCTGAAAAATTCTAAATAATTTATCGTCTTTGAAAACCATTTTATTTGAAATATTTAATTTGTAGAGCAATATTGGGTATTTTTGTCTGCAAAGAGATTATTTTTTGTATTTTTAATTAATCCGAAATATTGAACCTTATCTTTGCAGCTTACTGAACCCGAAGAAGTACGCCTCACGGCGATCGCAGGTGCAGAACCAGGCGATCAGCACCATTTGCAACGACAGGAGCGGCCAGCAGACGGGCGCCGGGGGCGGGGCCGGCGGCAATGGGACCGCTGCAGCGGCCGGCGGTGGAGCGGGCGGCGGGGGCGGTATGCGCGGCACTGCGGTGCAGTACTCACCACGCTCCTTCTACGACGCGAGTCGCGAGAAGCGCGGAATACAGGTAAAGACTTATATGGCCGAGGGCAATGGTTATAATCAACGGTCGGGCAGCACAACGCTTTACAGTAAGGTGGGTAAACAACAAGATTTTGCAATATCATCGAGAAAAGCGAAGCAGTTGCTATGCGAAACTCAGATTCCTATTAAATATATCTATGTATTCTATATCTATTGTATCTAATATACCCTAATAGTGTGCCACAGGTGGTTAATCAGCAATCATGCTAAAAATGTACATTTCACTTGATTTATAGGCTTTGATTAAATGTATAAAAATCGTTGTTGAAAAACGAAATTAATAATCCTTTTTTGAAATTTTTTCATTTTTCTAGATTTTAAACTCTTATTTAAATATTTCTCGAACAACATATTTTTTATAATTTATTTGAATTCAAAATTGAATTAAGCTACATTACATTAATGATTTAAATGTTTGTTATTACTTGTTCTAATTACTAATTTGAATCAAAGAAAATGTCAGAAGCGAAAAATGTTTGCGAAAGGGCAAATTTATTTTCTTTGAGCGATTGCTGAAGCCACCTGTTGTTGTTGTTTGGCTTAGTTAATGTTGTTGTAATCGTAATTTGTGTTTACTTAACTGTAATTGTAACCGTTAACAGTTGTTTGTTTATGTTTTTGTTTTTGATTTTGTTTTCATTTCTCATCTCGCTTCAATGTAAACAATTTCCATTTGATTTTCTTGACCTCTTACGTATTGGTTCTGTTTCTGTTTCTGTTTCTACTACAATTTTCTTTGCTCATTTCGTATGATTTATCATTTGCTGTAATCCCATAATAACCCCCAGCCCCGCCCCCTTTGCCCCGTTACCCGCTTAATGCTTTGACTAATTAACCACAAAATCGATATAAATATAAACATATATATACCACTCATATATATATAAATATGTATACATATATCTGTAGAGAGCTTTATATATCAAAGAAATCTGTGAAGTATCTTTGTGTTGTTCTTGTTGTTTTTATTCGTCCTCTGCGTGGGCGAATAAAAGTTTTTTCGCTTTTCCCAGCTGTTCCGCAACTCATCCTTCAACCTCATTTTCCTCCCTCACCCCCACCCACTTTTCCTCTGCACTGCAAAACTTTTTTGGCTGCCGCTTCTACTTCTTCAGCTGCATTTACTATTTATTATTATTTTCCCGCTTTTCCTGGCAAAAAAAAGGGGTGGTAGAAATGTTAGTTAATTAGTCAGTTAGAGCCACGCCCGTTTAATTGAAGGACAAGCAAACCAAATGATGCACACCCATTTAGAGAGAGCAACGCTCACCCACTCAAAACTTTTCCATTTTCCCCACTTTTCACATCCTCTCCATTGTAATTGCCTTCCACTGTCCTTGACATCTCATGAAAAATACAGTGAAAGCTCTGCCAAACGGACAGTCGGAATAGGATGAAATAAATCTGTCACTGTATATATTTCTGTACCTATAAATTAATGTGTACAGCTTTAAAACGCAAAACTAATTTTTTTTATTTATACAATTTGAACTATTAATAAGTTAATACAAATAAATACTTTTCATTAGGTTTATCTTTGCCTTATTTTTTATGGCAAAACAAAGCTTGTCCGTCTATAAACTTTTAAATTTTGAAAAAATTGTTTAATGTCTTAATGAAAATACTTCTTGTAAAACAGAATAACTGTATTAGAAGTCAATTATAAAAACTTACAGCTAACAAAAACTCAAACAATTTAAACAAAAAGCTTTTACCTTAAATAAACAAAAATCACTACAAGAAATTGTAGAAAAACACCCAGTGACTTTCTCTCTTGTTCTCCCTAAAATCGTATTAAAATCCAATTAAAAATCACTTTGCTGCAGATTAAGTTTTACCAATACAATCAACTGAGAATAGTAGAAGGCTTACAAAATGTTTCATTTTAAAATCAGAAAATTCGGATTTACCGGAGCGGTGTGTTCATTTCTCTCCTAGTTTTTCCACTTAAGTTAGCATTATTTCATGGATTTAGCTCCGCCTTAACCTCCTTAAAACCCACTTTTTGCATGCATGCGGTTGGATTTGTTCAGTTGGCGTTTTAAGTTGCTGGATTTCCCGCTATTTTACTATTTTGTTGACTTTGTTTCCAATTTGCTGGGCACCTTAACCCCTTCCGTTTCCATTACTGCGTATATATCGTTTGTATATGCTGCCCAGAGCTATCGTTATATCAGTATATATATATAGAAGTATATAGCATACATACTTATATCGAAAAGAATTGGTCGCATCTCCAAAAAAACCAGCAAAAGAAAAAAAGAAAACAAAACCAAAAACTCTACACTTACTGCAAGCACCGAGAAAGGTAAAAGATATCTAAAAAAAAAAAAAAAAAATTAACTACGAAAATTTAATTCTAATTTTATTGATCCTTTATTGAATAATTGATCGATTGATTGACCTATACTACCCTGGATAATCATTTAATTACATTTACCAACACATTATAATTTATTTTCTTGTTCTGTTGTCAAAATTTTGAACTTCTACCCATGTTTCCTCCTCTTCTCGTAATTGTATCTTTTTCTGTCCAGTTTTCCCTTTCTCTCTACCTGTCTGTCACACAAACTAATTCGAATGATTACAAATTATTGGGAAATAATAATAATAAATAAGTATTTTTGCTAAAATAAATTTTGAATTCAGAATGCAGTTTCATTATGTTATCACATTTATCTGTTTAAATATTGGATTTCTACGTTTGGAAAGCGAAGAAACTTTTTTTTTATGATATATATTCAACATATTTTGGTTTCCAGAAAGCTCAGATTGCAACGGAAATTCCAACAGTAATTATTTTAGTTTATTTTCCATTTAATGCAACGGGTTTTGTTAGGATACAATCCTTTCGTTCCGTTTCTCTTATTGTTTTTGAAAAGTTTGTCATTACGCAGTGCTTTTTAAAATGTTCTCTCTTACATCTCTGACTTTTCCACACTTTTTCTTGCTGACTCTTAGTTCTGAAGTTAATTATTTTGTGGAAAGAACTTTCACTTCAGCACACAGTTTGCGTTAAACTACAAATAATTAGCTGGGGGCGCGGGGTTAGAAGGAGGAAACCCCCATCCACTCCACATCACCCCACTGTCCACCGTCCACCTTCCCCCACCCAAAAACCTCCTCAGTTCCCCTATTTTGGGTTCATTTCTGTTCCATTTATTTCCATTTTTCTATCGACATCTGTTATGGTTATCATTTTCACAGGACTTATTACTGTTTTGCCTATTAAAGTTATAAATCAAAAGGGCCGCAAAAAATGATAATGTTACTCTAGTCATATTAAAAAAGTTGAAAATATATATTTTTTGGTTATTAAGTCGCTAAAGGGTTTGAATGCATAGACATTTCAAACCACTGGAATATTGAAATCTTTAGAGTTTTTAAATCTTGAATAATATTTGTTCCCTAAAGATCACAATTGTGTGAATTTTTATTAAGTGTGGATTATGCGTGTTGAATAATTGTTCATTTTTTCCTAATCTAAACCTGTCAAAATGTGTGAAAATGAAACTTTAACCAGTCCAGTTTTTCTCTTCTTTCCACCCTTGTGTTTATTATTATTTTTCATTGTTTTTTTTTCTGGAAATGATTGCAATTAAATGTAGCCCTAAGTCTGTGTCGATCTCATCTCTTTTACGCCTGTACCCAGTCTTTGCACATCGATGACTAATCGCTCGTTTTCCGATAATCCCTCTGTCAATCGCAGCTTTCGCCTGGACGGGAGTGTTCCGATACCGACCTGGAGCCACCACCTGCATCCCAGAGTCAGGACTGCGAACCGACGCCGCCGCTGCAGCGGCACAACTCCAGCAGTTTCTACCTGCCGCAGGTGAGCGACGCCGGCGGTCTGAACGGAAGCGTTTCCACGGGCGGCGGCGGAGGAGGAGGAGGTGGGGGCGGAGGTGATTCACCGCGTCACATGCGTCTCTACCATCCGCGTCACAGTCCGCACGCGAGGCCCAGGTGAGTTAATTATCCCTATCATTCTATTTTCCTCAATTTACGGAAACTTTTCATCACATATGTGACATGGGAGAGACCAGTTGTTATCCGGTATGTCGATATATATAGATCGAATAAGCATGTATTATCGACATACCACCATTTTTCCAAATCGAGCAATTATTTCAAAAAGTATTAAGAAATCAGTTAAAGATTGATGACAGGATAAAACTTCTTTGCTGTGCCAAAAGAACTGTGAGTGGCGCCATCTGTTAGGGGCATTTTGGTTTTCATATTGGTTGTCAGACTAAATTGTTCCCATTTTGTTTTTCTCTAGAGTTTTAAAGCTGTAATATATTAGATTCTGGCCATTGATTGTCTTATAATGACTTTTTAAATTCTTCAGCATATTTTGCTGATAAGTTTTTAAAGTTTCTGATAAAACCAACCGATTTTGACCATTGAATTGTCGTCTGTTCCCAGGGGCCTGGATCCGCAGCGAGGCTATACGAGTGACGCCCTATCGCCGGACCATCCCGTGGGCTATGGCGTGGGCGTGGGCGTGGGCGTCAACGGACCGCAGCAGCAACAGCAGCAGGCGCTGGCGGCGGCAGCGGCGGCGGCGGCGGTGGCAGCACAAAATCAACGTAGCGCGGCGACCACGGCCACGCCCACCATGCAGCAGCGGATCAAGCCGCTGGGCGTGGCCACGCCCCTCGTAATGGCGAGTCCAGTGCGAAGGTAAGTGCGCCTCTGGGCCCAATTTTCCGTCACATGTTTTCACGGTCCAACCCCACCCACTTGCCCCGCCCCCTTGCTGTTGATTTTGTTGTTGTTGTCGTTGCTTCTATAGCTTAACCCTTTTCAGCCTTTATGAAGTTTGTGAAATATTTCAAGCCAAGCTAAGTAGATCAATAGATCCTAGGAAAGCTATAAATAGTTTTAATTTCTTTCATACTTTTATTTAGTTAAACAAAAAGGTTAATGAGTCCTACAAAATATTATCTAAAGAATTTACATATGTAATTTCCTTATCTAAGTACATGGGTTAACTCTTTTTGCAATCATTTTTTGTGAAAAATATTTGTATTGGTAATAGTGAAACCTATTGGTATTACCAATAAATACTAAAAAACAAAAATTAGAAAAATCATAGTTATTATGATTTTAAAATTACATTCTTGAGCTAGCAACCGCAAAACGTTTATTTTTGGTTTGAAAATCGGTACATAATTATCAGTTTTCCAATAAATTTACTTTATATCTTTACTTAACTTAATCGTTAAGTTTTATGAATAAATGGGTTTTAAAGGGTTAAGGTGTGCTCGCGAATTTTCGTGTATATGTGCTTCCATAGTAGTGTTGTTGTTGATAAGCCCCCACCTTTAGTTTTCGCTTTACCGCTAGTTTGTTTGTTTATTTGCTTTGCTACTTCGCCGCCTTTCGTAATTTGCTTCTAGGCGTGGGATACAGGAAAACTTGTACTACGATTAAATCTACTATGTTTATATATATATATATATTTCTGGGCCTAATATTTGATAAGGGAACTTCACTTTATTGCTCTCCCTTTCGCACCCACCTTATGATAATTAGAAAAAAATGGGATAGATATAGGCGCGAATACGAAAGAGATGCCCTGCGGGTCAATAACCGCTAAATAATTGTTGCACTTTTGCGTCCCACTCATCCATTTGGTTGTTTTAGTCCTCATTTCGATCTCGGCTCCTTTTTCTTCCATTTTATAAACTAATTAATTATTTTTTCACACTTTTTCTTTCCTTCTTTTTTTTGCGTACTATTGGTTTGGTCGATGTAGTCAATACTCAAATTCTGAGAACAGTACTAATTCCTAGGCTTAGTTTAAAGAAAAAAAAACGAAAACAAAGAAGTCCAACAAGAAACAACTGAAAAAACCAAGAAACAAAAATAAATAATACGAATTCATTATAAGTTTATTGAATGAGAAGAATAAATAAAAAAGTTTGAAATAAGAAATGCAATATGTAAGTTAAGCACGAAAATGAACAAATGATATCGAAATGCAGAGGGGAACAAAAAGTTAACTGAACCGGAACCGAACCAAAACCAAACCGTTCCGTTTCGCAGCCGTCTCCGTTGTCGCCGTCTCTTTCTTCCACTCGTTCTTCACTCTTCGCTCTTTTTCCAACTTCCACCCGAACCACTGAACCACTGGCAACCACTTGAAACACTCGCGAACCACTCTACAAGAGCACCCTGTAAACCGAACCGAACCGAACCGAAAAACCGTTATCCATTGATCCTCTACTAAGCTCCTTCTACTTTCTTTCTGCCGCGCGAGGTGAGTTTTACTTTCTTTCTTTCGTTTCGTTACGTTCCGTTTCCGTTTCGCTTTCATTATTTCGTTCTTACCGATTTCGTTTCCGTTTCCGTTCATTTTGGTTGCCGTTTTTGTTTTGCGTCCGCCTTTAACCCTCTTTCATGCGCATTTAACCCTCGGTTCAGGTTTTCTTATTCCATCCGACCATGTTCCATTTTTTGACATTCTCCCATCTCTGTGGTTCTTTGATTTAAATAGTACTGAATTTTGACTTAATAATGGAATACATTCTATGGTCTGCAAACCAATCTTTTCTTTAAATAACAAATAACTTAACAAAAATTAACGTAGGGATAACAAAGATTAACTTGAACTCTTTCATCTGATTTTAACTCACAAATGGAAAAAGGGGGTTGTTAAAGAAATAATAATATAATAATTATAGACTGATGGCACAGAAAGTTGAAACTAAATGATTGATTACGGTAAATAGGAAACAATTCCATTGATGATACCTATGGTTTTGAATCATTTCTAAATTTTTGTTTAATCCCAGTAGTCGATATTATAATGCTGTCAAAATTGTAACATGCCTAAGGTATTGTACTCTAAAGCACGTTCGAAAACGGATAAAATTCAAAAAAAATTGTTGTATACCTTTTCTTCTCTTTCCGCATACGGCTCCTCTAAGTTCCTCTAAGTTCAAAGGTGAACTAAATTACGATCGATAAATATCAGCGGAACGGTGGAGACCGAAAGCGCAGACAATCGAATGTGATACTTAAAGTAATTGAGGAAAAGCGTAAGATCTGAGAACTGCCAAATTATATTCCAAAGAAATCGAGGGAGATAAATTCCTAGTGTTGACTGAAAAGAATACGAAGAAGCCACCATGAACAATGCACAGAGCGAAGACCTTTGCCACCAAAAATCCCTGAACCTGCTGGACAAAACGCTGCCCATTTCGGTGGCCACCGCACCACAGTTGCGCACTCCCCGGCAATTCAGTTTCAATGGGATGCGGTACGAGATGAGTGGGTTGCTGCCACCGCAGCAGGTGCAACTCACCAGGCTCAGGGCGGGTGGAGGAGGAGGAGGAGGTGGCGGCGGTGGCGGTGCTGCTGCTGCCTCCCAGGAGAGGATGCGGACTAGTGGTTTCCAGGAGAGGATGCGGACTAGTGGTTTCCAGGAGAGGATGCGGACTGGTGGTTCCCAGGAGGGGATGCGGACTGGTGGCTCCCAGGAGAGGATGCGAACTGGTGGCTCCCAGGAGAGGATGCGAACTGGTGACTCCCAGGAGAGGATGCGGACTGGTAGCTCCAACCACACTATAGCTTCCAAATCCATTCATGAGGCAGCTGGCGGGGATAGTGGCTCACGACGGAACCAAAAGGGAGTCCTGCCCAATCTGGTGAGTCTGGGCAACAGAGCCTTGCTGATGAACAGCGGCGTTAGGATGGCCAGGAGAAGTGAGATGGACTTTCCAAAGGCCAGACCTGCAACAGGGGGATCCTCCTCGAACTTTTCCATCCAATCTGATTTGCAAGATAAGAAAGAAGAGCATGAAGGTCTTCCAAGACAGGATCAGGATCGAGAATGCCTAAGGCGGGAAAGGAAGTCGCGTCGGAAGCAGCACCTCTCGATGGAACTGAAGGAGAGTAAGCCATCCCCGAATCTGACCCGTGATTTAACCAACCAGCAGAGCTGGATGTTGGCCCAATCCCTGCTAAGGGCCTACGGAAGCGGTCTGGTTCATCCGGGAAATGGTGAGGGAACGCCCGCCAAGATGGACTACATCACACTGGCCGGACTGGTGCTCGGCTGTGTCGCCTCCCACGTCCTCTTCCTGCTGTGCTGGTACTTCAGCTGGCTGAAGAACCAGGCGGTGGGCCTGCGCAAGCGCTTCCTGGGCAATGCCAATCTGTGGGAGTTCTTCGACCTGGAGGACACCACCCGGTTCTCGTTGCAGACCAAGTTGGTGCTGGCACCGCTGATCGTCGTCTGCGCCCTGCTCTACTGTGTGGTCAACATGCTGCATCTGGTGGTGCAGGTGGTGCGATCGGATGTGCCGCGCACAGTGGTTGTGTTTGTCCAGCGGGTGGCGAACAGTGGGCTGCTGGGCACCATCACCATGGGATTGGCCGGATTGGGCGGCGGTGGTGCTGTACGGGGACGCCAGAAGCCAGCGAGCCGATAATCCTTCGTAAATTGTCCGTCAAGGAAAATGGAAAACAGGAAATCAAGGTTGCCATTCAACAGATCTAACACGATTCCACATCCGCCGTCCTAGTTAAACTGATTACCTGGTCATTTTTCATGTGTTGGTGGCTTATTAAAAAAAAACTACAAACTTGGGTCATTGATTTTCGTGTGATTAATTGATAACCCTGGGCTGAGGCCGCAAACCATTTTGGTAACCCAAATATTTGGTTGAAGCTTAATTAATTCCTTTTAAATTATACATAAATACTTGAACCACAATCAATACCGACTTAATATTTCGTTTTGTTGTGATTATTGTGGTCTATATGGTTTCCAGTTCTTTGAGACTCAATTTCGAGTTTATTTAATTAAATTTTTTTTTTGTCTTGCCTACATTGTTTTTTTAACCAGAGTTATTATTTGATTAGGTTATTTATTTACTAAATACTTTTTAAGAACAAGAACATTACGTACTAAACAAATATTTCTAGAACTCTAATTGTGAGCTGTTATTGACCCAACTGATAGTTAGTTAATTGGTAAGGGCAGCAAGCATTTTTTGTGTCGATAACTTTCCCTCGCTGTTACTAAACGATCTCGATACCAATCTGATTGTTTTAACCCCTGTCTTAAGGCCATAATCTCACTCCCATCAGATCGGATCAGAACACCCACTATATCTCTGTCTCTCGCTCATTGATCGCTTTCGTTTTGACTAACCGTCAGTTAACCGAGCCGTTAAGTTCTAACATCCAGACGTTAACTCTGCAGCAGCTTTTGTGCTCGCTCTCTCAGCATGCTTTACGATCGTTTTGAAGATATTTAACGAGTCCTTGACTAATCCCCGTTTCGTGTGTGTACCACCCAACAGATCTAATCCGGGCACGCCCACTCAGCCGAGACGCCCCGATTTCATCGGACTGAACGCCCAGGCGGTGGCGCAACAGCAGCAGCAACAACAACAACAAGCAGCTGCGGCTGCGGCAGCAGCGGCCTATTATGAGTACACCAGCGGTCTGCCGCCACAACATCCGCAGGCTCCCAGCATCCAGCAGCAGCAACAACAACTGCTCCTCCAGCAGCAGCGCGTCCTCATGCAGCACCAACAACAGCAGCAGGGTAAGTGGTCCTTAAAGTATGGGAATATTTAGGGGGGACTTTATTTAGAACTTTACCATTTTATCTATAATTTTTGGAGAGGGATAAAATTGTAATATATAGATAAATTATGTAAATAAGTTTATAAAGAATTGTATACTTATTGTAGCTAAAGACAAAGAAGTAAAATAGTATAAGCATCTTTCACGATGGGTGCATTTTATTTCCTTCACTACAATAATGCTAAAGATATAGCCAATTTTTACTTTGAATATTTGCATTGCAGAAAAACTCAAATGGGTTTTAAAAGGTCTCGATAGGTACCTTTACTTTACTTGACCCAAATTATAAAACTGTGTTTACACTCACAAATCCTATGAATGTTGAACTCTGTTATCACCATTGGCAAATATACGTTAAACTCATGAAAATAGCTTATATTGAGGCTTTGCTGGTCTTAAGCAGAACCGCTGTATCGTTTACAACCAGCTATATACTAATCTCCCCTCTCTTTCTTTTTCCGCCACAGCTCTGCAGCAGCAGCAACAGCAGCAGGCGGCGGTGCATGCGGCGCATCCGCAGCACGCCGCACTGGCGCAGGCGGCCTACGGTGGCAGTCCGCAGCGGCGCTTCCTCTCCGAGGGCGAACTGGTGCGCCAAGGGGCCGGAGGAGGCGTGGCAGGCGGAGAGCTGTCCTACGCGCGGTCCAACAACACGGTGGATAATATACGGGAGCTGGCCGGCAGTCCGCAGCGCGGCGTTTACATGTGGAAGGACACGTCGCCGGGATTCACCAGTTCCGTGGGACAGCAGCAGCAGGGACAGCAGGTGGTGAGCAGCGGGATCGGCAGCAGTGCGGGCACGCTGTCCAGCAGCGGAGCCTCCGTCGGGGTGATGCCGCATTCCCAGTACATTACGGCGGGCGGCGGAGCCCATCCGCTGATCATGACGCACTCGCGACTCCAGGACTACGCCATCCAGCAGCAGCAACAGCAGCAGCAGCAACAACAGGCGGCGGCGGCAGCGGCAGCAGCCTCATATCATCGCTCCAATCCGACGAGTCCCACCACCATGCCACAGGTGTCCGGAGCTGGCCAGGGCTATATACTGCGCTACGGAGGCGGCGGAGCGGGTGGAGCAGCCGGCAGCAGTGGCAGTTTGGCCAGCGTGACGGCCAGCAATCCAGCCACCGGAGGCGGAGGCTATCAGCCGGCACTGCGCGGCGGCGTAGCCGTGTTTCCACCCAATCCGCTGGGTAATCCGGGCGTGGGTAACATGCAGACGCAGCCCTCGCCGCAGATCAAGAGGAAGCAGACGCCCACGCGGCCCATGAGCTTTGTGCGAGCACTGGAGATGGCCGACTCCATGGAGATGCAGTCGATGGAACAGCAGCAGAACGGCGGAATCCCCGGCAGCGGAGCGGTGGGAAACAATCAGCAGACGGGCGCCGGCGGCGGTGGTCACCTGATGCAGGGCAACGCCTCCAACTCGGGCACTCCGGATAGGGCCAGCATCTACGACATGAACTACGAGATCTCCGTATAACCCGTGGTGGTGCCCGTGCTTCTGATGCCACCCGCCAGCCAAGCTCCAGGGTCGGTAGTCGCTGCTCCAGCTGCTGCAGTTGCTCCAATTGCCATCGCTACCGCTCCGCAGCCGGGGCAGTTCTACCACGCCAATGCTAATGCCAATGCCCAACTGGAGCCGGCTGCCTATGCCTGCGTTCCTGTTTTGCCCCTGAAACCGATAAGCAATGGAATAGGAACCAATAGTCATCAGCACCACCATAATCACCATCACCTCCAGCCGCAGCAGAAGCAGCAGCACCACCAACATCCGCACCAGAACCACAACCTAAACCTAAACCAGAACCAGAACAAACGCAAATTTTCAACCTTCTTCTAAGGAGAACGAGCCTTTTTTTCATTTTTTTTTTAATAACGAACGATTGATTTGAAAGAGCATGTAAAGGTGTATCTAACCTGAGCTATTTACACCAGATGTGTGTGTATATAAGTTGCAGTGCTGTTGTAGCTATTGCTAAATTTTAAGTAATTTTATTATGTAATTTTTATGCTTTGTTTTTATGATTACTTTTTAATGCACTTTGGAAGACGTTTTTAAATGATCGGATTTCAAAACAAATTATTTATACTTTTAATGCTTTTTATATACGATGAAAAACGTAAAAATAGAGTGAAGATAAAAAGAATATGAGATAAATTGAAACAAAGCAAGAGGACAAATACAGTGCGTTTCATGGGTATATGAGCAGTGATTTGTAAGAGGGAAACCCACAAGTTGCAGAAATGCCTTAAGCCAATGCAACGCACTGTATAGGTCCTGCCGATCTGCTATATCTATTATACATATAGTACACACATATATGGAAAACTTTTGCAATCAACTTGAAAATCGCCAAAATTTGTACGTGTTTGTGTGTGTGTGCCTGTCTGTGCGTCTGTGCATATGTGTGTTTAACATAAGTCTTTATAAATTTATATCTATTTATGCCATATAATGTATATAGGATATGCTATGTCAGGGCCCAGGTGCAGAGAACTTTGTCATTTGTGTACATAGGTGAAGAAGGTGGAGGGAGACGGAGGAGGAACCGATTTGTGCTTAGAATACAGAGATTATATAATGTGCTGGCGAATTTAGGGTGTCCAAAGATTCGAGATCTGGACGGGATGTCATGATGTCTTTGCTACGGGTTGTGCGAAGCAACTCCTAATCTATCATAATCTGTAAATAGAAACCCGTTTTGTAAGAACTACCTCCCTCCTCTCCATTCCTCAATCCAGTGAAGCGAAAGGTTTAGTCGTAGCCCAGTACAGTGCGTTTCGGGGCCTTATTTATTCAGCAACCTAAGGTTTCATTCGAAATCATTCTATAAGTTTAACTCACTTAATTTCATACTCAGGATAATGATTAGAAGGAAATGGCATTTTCACTTTCACAAATCTCCCCCTTACAGTCCCGAAACGCACTGTCCCTGGGTCGTCGTCACATACTCCCAAAAGAGATTTTTTTTTCTCATATTTGTTTTTTTTTTGTTCGTCATTTACTTAGAATTTGTAAGAGAGCCCTAATCTGAAAACTTGAATGTCGTCCAATTCAAATCAGTTTTGATTTTCCTGTACATAAGTGTAATAATGTATGAGAATTCTTCGGTTCGAGACTACCAACTACGTACGCCTGCTTGCCTATATAGGCCCCAACTTTGTTGTTATGTTTTTAAGTGAACTTAGCTTTTATACCGATCCCCAAGTGTGTGTGTTCTTAGATCAATTTGAAGGCATGTTTCAGTTGGATTTCTTATCACGTTTGGTTTATTCAAATGAAAATGCAAATGGCAAATTTCTAGCGATTATATCTGTAAGAATGTTAGCTATATACACGACACTCACGAGATCGATCGAGAAAAGGAGAGAATTATACATGTGTAAGCGCGATCAATCCCGAATCCTCTTCCCTGCCCCATAGATCATGCGAATTTGCAAGGATCAAAACTTGTATAGACTATGCAGTGAGGTGTGCGACATGGGTTGTTGGGATAGCCATTTTTGCTCTTCAATTCGATTTCTTCCACAGACAGTACTTTTTTTTATCAATATTTATTAGAATTTCAAATTATCGAATCTATACTTCCAGTTGCAAAGATGTAGGTGAATATATGGCTGTCCCATCCACCCACTTCGCACGCCTTATATAACGGATCAAGAGTATATATTATACACACGTATATTTAAGCGTTTTTTGCTAACACATTAATTCATGAATTTGCAACAATATTTATTATAAATACAGAAATGCATATACAAACAACAACAAAAAAAGAACAAAAACGAAACAAAAATCGAGAAAAACTAAAGTGTAATGTAAAATGTAACAAGAAAAACAAAAACGGAAGAAATTGTTTTAGATTTTTATACCAAATTTAATTAATGTAAAACCACAAATTGTTTATTTTTTGTATTACCCCGTAACCCCCGCCAGAATGAGAGAAATCCCTGCCAGAAAAATCCTCGAGTTCTAAATTGTTTTTTTTTTGTGTATTGAATACTTATGTAATTTGTAAATTATATGACAAGTAATCAAATAGCAAGCATAAACAGCAAGGAAATTAATAAACAATAAAAATAAAAATGCAAAAGTAAATCGATGTTTTTTTTTGATATAGCGCCAGTATGCGGACCAAATGTAAGTATAATAATTGAAAAAGACTATCTTTATTGTTTTTACACAAAAATCGATTTATAGACTCAATTCAGGCTTAACTACAATTGGAATTATCAACACTGTGTTCAACATAAACTTAAACTAAACCGATCCCTGGGGATCTTAGAATTGCACTACGACTACAGCAGCGAGGAAGTGAAGATCTGCTGCAGGATGTGAGGTAGCTTGGTGAGGTCCATGCACACGAAACTCTGACCCGCCGGCATTTCCGCATTGATTCTGGAAAAAAGAAAGGGATAAATCAGATAGATCATAATATGCAATATTTTCAATATTGTAATGAACCCAGCAAAGAAGAGTATCATTTCAGCCAAGGTCTTAAAAGAATAGGGGTTACCAAGGAATTATTTAACAGTTGTTTTGGATATAAATAGTTTAAAGGTACGGTGTGATATCAACTAAATTGGCCTTAGAAGATAATCCCAGGTGCACTTACTCATCGGCCTCCTCGGCCAGACTGCCAATGAAGATGGCATAGCCCTTGACCTTCGGCTCGCCCCGCTTGAGGGCCACAGCCAGATCCTTGGGGGCGATGCCGTAGCGCTGCAGATTGGCATCGCTGAGGACCACCACGATGGCGTTGTCGAAGTCCTGCTCCGCTCCCAGCGTGGAGCAGGCCTCCCGCGCCGCCTTCACCGTGGAGTCGCCGGACCAGCAGAACTGCGAGTGGGCGTGCATCATCCGGATGGCCTCGAAGCGCTCCTTGTCGTTCTTCGGCGGACTGCCGGCGGTCACGAACGGGATCTCCCAGCCCTCGCCGCTGTGGCCGACGATGTCGTAGACGATCTTCTTCTCGAATCCCTCGAAGGCCTCCATCACCATGACCACGGCCTCCAACTGACGGTCCAGCCGTCCATCGTAGCCATTGAACCTGAAAACACAAGTGCATACATTAAACATAGCTGAGGCTGGAGAACTCACAGATCCCACCCACCTGTACATCGAACCCGACACATCCACGACCAGCTTGAGTCGGTTGGGCTTCTCCTGGACGTGATCCGCCCAGGGATTGGCCTCCGCCCGCCGCCTGTAGATGTTCTTCTCGCCGGTGATGCCCTCCACGAGTCGCGTGTCGTCCAGATCGCCGTGGGTCTGGTACTTCTGCCACTGGCGCTCCTTGCTCTTCGTCTGCATCGCCTCCAGGACGGCCTTCAGCTGCTGCACCTGCCGGCGATTGGGCTCGCTGAACTGGGCGTACAGCTTGTGGTCATGGGCGGACATCTTGATCTCCTTGAGCTTGTCCTCGAACGCCTTGCGGTTCATCTCACGCGCCGCCCGCTTGATCTCCTCGGGCACATCGGCCTTCTCCTCATCGCTCAGCTGATGGACCTTGTGGCCCTTATCCAAACGGAAGGGTCCGCCCTTGCCGCCCAGTCCGGCCGTGTCACGCCCACCGCTGCCACCGGCCCACGTGTTGCCGCCCACATGCGGCTCGTTCTTGGGATCAAGCTTGCCGAACTTCGGCCCGGAGACGCCCAGTCCGCTGTGCCGCTTCACGGATGCCTGCAGCGTCTTCTGCCTCCTGATGGCCTGCACCTCCTCCTCGGCGTAGGACTCGATGCCATGCTTGGCCAGCACTTGGGTGACCTGTTGCAGAGCCTCCGGCTGGTAGCGATCAAAGTCCAGCACGTTGCCCACCACCTCGGACATGTTCTCCTCCGGATAGCGCTCCAGATGCTTGACAATGCTCACCACCTCGCGCGTAGAGTATGGATAGTTGAGCATTCCCTCGTCGGCGAGGGTGCGCAGTTCGCCAAAGGCATTCACCAGGGTGCGGAGCGTTTTGATGGGCACCTTGGGACCATACTGCTGCAGCAGGAAGATCTCGGAATCCGGATCGGGATTGCTGATGGCATGGCAGCTGAAGACGTCGCCGAGGGCGGCAAAGAAATCGTTTCCCAGGAAGGGGAAACCAGGCCGATTGGCCAGCACGATTAGCCGGAAGTCGGGATGGGTTTCAATGGAGTTGGGAACCCTTCCGCCGGCGCCCGGTGGCACGATCCGGCGGCCATCGGCCAGCACCATCTCGCCGCTCTCCACCAGCGTCCGCAGGATGCAGGTGACATTCACCGGCGCCTTGTCCGCCTCGTCCACCACCAGAACGTGCCCGGAGCGAACCGCCTGGACCAGGGCACTGTCCTCGTAGGCCACCTGGCCATCCTTCAGAGTCGCCTGGAGCGTCAGACTGTGCACCGTGGTGTCGCGATGCAGCTGGATGTATTCCCTGGGTCGCTGCATCAGCTCCAGCAGGCGGTCCACCAGCTTGTTCTTGCCAACACCCTGGTTGCCCACCAGCAGGAGGTGCTCACCGATGAGGTAGTCCTGCAGCAAGCGCTCCAGCAGCTGGACATGCTGCGGCATCTCGTAGAACAGCGTGCTGGGCACCTTGGACAGCTGTGCCTGGGTGGGCTTGCCCAAAGGCCAGCGGGTGGAGCCAATCCTCAGGGAGTTGTCCTCCACAGCTATCTGGTTCTTCCTGCTTTTCGGCCTGCTGTCCCGGGGCTTGATGCCCACCTGCTGGATGGCCTGTTCCAGGGCACTCCGCGAGAGGGCTGGCATGAATCTGGCCAGGAATGTGTTCTGCAGCATTTCGTGGACATCGCTCAGCTCGCTCTGCGGATAGGCAGCCAAACGGCGGGCCAGCTTCAGTAGTTGCCTGGTGGACAGCGTGCCCGCCAGTCCCTGCAGCAGCGGATCCTGTGAGGAGCGCAGCAGTTGGGCCAGCTTCAGCAGCGGCTCCATGCCCGCGGGTAGATCTCCGCCGCATAGCTGGGCCAGCAGTTCCTGCTCCTCGCTCTGGCGCAGAGGACGCAGCTCCTGGTAGAGAAACAGGCTGAGCAGCTCGGGCGTCAGCCAGTTGGGCTGTCCGCTACCGGGACGTGGTGGTTCTGCCAACGCCACCACGCGGAAGGACTCGTGCATGGGCAGGAAACCGAGTTCCCCGAGCTGCTGCTCCGAGAATCCCTGCTGGAGCAGTGACTGGTAGCGATTCGTACCCAGCAGCGTGGTGCCATCGCACAATTGCAGTTCCCGATCGTGGATGAGTCTGAAATAAGGTTAATAATTATATAGATATTTAACTCCATGGAAGCTATATCCCACTCACCGCTGCAAAACACTGGCCGTGCTCTTGTGGAGGCGATGCAGGCCATTGAGCACCACCACGGATCCCGACTTGGCCGCCCGCACGAGCGGCGAATCCCTCCACACGGTGTCGCCCTGCGGACTGGTGATGCGCTGCTGCACGATATCCCGGCTGGTCATGTCCTCGTACAGCATCATCGGCTCCGAGGTTTGCTGCAGCAGGCGGAGTAGCTCCTGGGTGAGGGTCAGCTTGCCCACACCCTTCTCGCCCATGAGGCACACATCCCCCACTGCGTAGGCCTGCAGCAGGCTGGCGAGCGCCTGTCTCTGATGCGGCAGGTCCACAAAGCTGCTCGTAATCCCGGCTGGAGTCTGTCCTCCGGGCAGGCTCAACTGCAGGTCATCCAATTTGAGCAGAATTCGGGCTTGCTCTGCTGCTTGCGTTGTGATCTTCTTGATGCTCGGACTGGGAATCAGTTGGATGTCCAATTTCTTGAGCAGCTCCTCCACGCGCTTCTTTTGATCGGGCTTCAGCATGGTCTGGTATGGATACAAGCGACTGATGATGTCGTGCAGGCTCAGCGAGGGATTGGCCTCCTGGAAGAAGCCAAAAAGAGGGATTAACTAGTGTATCATATTAGGTGAGACTGCCACCTACCAGCATCTTGACGCCCAATTGCAGGTTGTGCAGGGGAAAGTCCGGCAGTTGGAGCGTGGGATCCGCCTGCTGCAGGGTCAAAGCGAAGGTGAGCAGCTGCTTGAGGTGCTCGCCGGGCACAGAGGGCGCCTCTTGCTGCAGTTCCTCGTACAGCTCTCCGTAGGTGTAGGTGGTCACATTGCGGGACTGGAAACGGGAGCGCAGTGGTGGATCCAGCGGCGTGCCCTTGTACTTGTGCGTGGGCAGACCCAAGGCCACCACCCGGAATTGCTCGGAAACGCGCAACAGACCCCATTCGTCCAGCTGCTCCCGTGAGTGTTTCTGGAAAATGGGAGATCGTTAGTGAACTGTATCAATTAGAACCAGATAACTTACCTCCAAAAGCTTGTCGTAACGTTCGGGGGACATCAGGAACTTGCCGCTCTCCAGGTGCATCTCGCGATTCTCCAGCAGATTGTTTAATATGGGCAGTACATTCCGCTCCGCGTGCTCCACTCCGTCGAGGACCAGGACGCGGCCATTGAGTGCTGCTCGCACTGCTCCCTGATCATGGTACACGGCCGCCTTGTCGTGGATCTCGCGTCGCTGCTTCAGGTCACTCTCGGTGGTGTCCCTGCTCAGGGACACGTACTCCACCTCGCGCTGCGTGAGCTCCAGGAACTGCATGGCCAGCTGGCGGCGCAGGGGACCCGGCTGGCCCAGCAGGAACATGTCCTGCCGCAGTGCATCCTTCTGCAGCATCCAGCGCAGGTGGTGCAGGGCCGACTGCGACAGCTGCAGGGTTCCATCCGGAGCGTATTTCACTGGGGATTTCCATGGCGAAGAGAATTAATATTAAAAAGTAAGTACAGGTTTGGTGGATTAAATGTAATATATCTTTACAAGGAAACTACTTCCAAAAAGATAAATAAGATAGAAATAAGATATGCTAATTATACTGATGGATAATTATATATGAGCTCCATGTGGTGCTCCGTTTTCTTTGAGATGATCGTTTTCTGAGATGATATAATGATGAAATGGCATCCAGTCTGCCGGGCAAACAGATGATTGACCTTTGTACTGTTTGCAAATCTTAGCTGGCTACCCGGAATTCTAGTCCTCATCCTCACCGTATTGCTGCGGCACCAACTGTGGATCCTTGGGCTTGTGCAGCCGCACGCTCACATCACCGATGGTCAGGCTGTCCTGATCCTCCGGATCCTTTCCTGTCGCCGTGCTCACCCAGCTGCGCCTCCAAATCCTGCCGTTTTTGAGGCTGTGACGCAACAGGTGAGCGCTGCGACCTTGCAGGTTCGCCAGCATGGCCGTTGGTGGGAAAGGGGTTGTGCGGGGCTGGAGTTGCGTTAACTGGAATCGGGATAAAGCTCCGGTTCCGGGTTATCTCTCCAGATTTATTTGGCTAAAAACGGCGGCCGTTCCGCGCGTGTTTACCAGAACAGTGCTGCCCATGTGGAACAGCTGATCGGACAGTGATGCCAATCGTGGTTCGGCTTATCACTGCTCGAGTCTTCACTGCACCTTTATCTAAGCTTCCCACCATTATATTATTGCTCTTCCAGACGATTTAATCATATTTTATTAATTAAAAATGTATATATTTAATTTAGGATAACAAGGATATGTTGAACACAAATGACTTGAAGCTAATGCATGTAAAAAACATGATTTAACAATATGTTAAAGAAACAGATAATTGGTTGAGAGAATACCCCTCTCATTACTCAGGAATGATAATGTGGTATATTTTACATTTCAATTTGCGGCCACACTGGCAGAATATAACAAGCCAACGAAATACGCAATTGAAAACGTTTTTTTGTATATTTAACCGTTAATTAGCTAGATTAAAATGACCACAGCAGCTCGACCGACCTTTGACCCCGCCCGCGGAGGATCAGGACGCGGCGAAAAGGATCTGAGTGCGCTGAGCAAGCAGTACTCCAGCCGCGATTTGCCAGGCCACACCAAGCTTAAATACAGGTTGTATCGGATAACAGGGATTTTCTGCGAAACAAGACCGCAATAACATATACGTTCTGTTCCAGGGAGACGGGCCAGGGCACCAGCGAGGAGATCCGCAACCGAGACTTCCGCAAGGAGCTGGAGGAGCGCGAGCGGGAGGCCCGTTCCGGAGCGACCTCATCGGGCAAGGCGCTGCCCTCCATTGTGCGCAAGGCCATCGAGGCGAACAATGCGGGCGGAGGAGGTGGTGGCGCCGGGAAGCGGGCCAAGCCGGACGCCGTCCAGCAGCAACAGTTGCAACAGCAGCAGGCCGCCAATATGGACGCCGATGAGCCGTTGGACAACGATAGCTCCGACTCGGATTCCGATTCAGATGACGACGATGCCGCCCTGCTGGCGGAGCTGCAGAAGATCAAGCAGGAACGCCTGCAGGAGACCGCACGCCGGGAGTCTGAGAAGAAGCAGGAGGACGAACGCATCCGCATGGAGAACATCCTCTCCGGCAATCCCCTGATCAACTACGAACCCGGAACCGCTGCCTCAGCCGCGGGACGTGCTTCCGGCCTCGGTGGCGATTTGAAGATCAAGCGCCGCTGGGACGACGACGTGGTGTTCAAGAATTGCGCCCGCTCCGCTCCCGAGAAGAAGACGCACTTCGTCAACGACGCCCTGCGCTCCGATTTCCACAAGAAGTTCATGGACAAGTACATTAAATAGGCGCCAAACCACTCGCTTTAAGTTTCAACCACTTTTTGTAATAGTTTAAGTAAACCAATTGTCAACTTTTTGTGGCCTTCCGCCAAGCTGCTCATTAAAAATCACATTTTGTAAGCAAATGCAGTCTGTTATTTAAACTTCTGTGCTGTGAATTTTCTTTTTGCATTGTTTATTTTTATATATTCGATAACACCTTTTTTTAAATTTATCGCTGTAACTATACTAAAATAAGACGAACAGCCAAAGAACTGACTGTTTTGTGCAGATTAGCTAAACTCAAACATTCTACCACTATTTACCAGGGTTATGGTTAAAAAACCAAAATCAGGATTTCGCCCAAAACATATGTATTTCATAGTGGTTTTGATTTTTTAAAAAATCCCATTTTCTGTAAATGGGACATTACTATTTTTGGGTTTGGGGTTTTAGGTTATTATTAAAAAACGTGGTTTTAAAAATGTTGATTGATTTGATAGGTTTACAAAAAAAAACCACTTTCTATGAGTTTTTTTTGCTATAACTTGGACAAAATAAGACGGATAGCCAAAATGCTGACTGTTTTCTGCAGTTAATGACCCAAACTATTGATCGCCAATAGATTTTGAAAAATAATTTTTGCATTTTTTTACGAGGCATAGCTGATATGGTCGCCAGTGGCTTCGTATTCTTTTCAAATTAGGTCTGAGGTCGACGTCATTTCGGGAGTGGGTACTGCGTGGCCATCGGCACTTCTTGCGGGCTGTGACCCAATGACTGGGGGCTGACCGCGAGTGCGAGTCCGAGTGCGAAGGGCAGGAACCTTAACCAAAGTGTGAAACCGCAGAAAACATCGGTAGCCGATAATGTCGAGGGACAAAAGCAGCAGCCACCAGGGGCGGCGGATCAGGATGTAAACGGGGTCAAGGGGGGTTAGTACAGGGGTCGGGGGATAAAGGGGATAAGGGGGATAAAGGGGATAAGGGGGATAAAGGGGACCAGGGGCGGTGGCTACGTGAGCGCACGAAGAGAAGCCCAAGAAGCCCAGGAAGCCCAATCATCGTGGCGATCATCGCAAGGGCAATTGTCGCTGCTGATGAGGCACGAAGCAAAATCAATTTGCCCCAAGGAGCCGGGCCAAGCAAGCGCAAAATAACTTGGTCAATTACGCCGACCCAAGCAGCATAGTAACACGGCTATAAAAACCTATAGTTGTAAAAATACTATATGATATTTAATCAGATGGCGAATATTTCTAAGCACTTAATAAAACCATAATTTAAATGCAGAATTTGTCAATTTAACAAGCAGTTTATTAAATTTAAATACTTAAATTTTCAATGATGATATATTGATTTATTTGAAAATTGATTAACCTAGTTTAAAATACAAATATTAAAAGGAAATATATATTGCTATCAAGACGATAAAACAATAATTCAAACGCAGAATTTGTCAATTTAATATGGAGTTTATTAAATTTAAATACATCAAATTTTTAATAATAAATATATTGATTTGATTGGAAACTGATAAACCTTGTTTAAAATACAAATGTTAAAAATGAAAACTTACTGGAAGAGGAAATATATATTTCTATCCAGACAATTTGCAAAAACTGGTCTTCATTTTTAATGGAAACCCAAATAATAATCAGAATGGTAAGAACTAGACCATATTTTTTGCTCAGTGCAACAGCGAATGCAAATCATCTGGAGGCTCTTGATTTCCACGCCTCTTTAATGCCCCGCACGCGGCCTGCGCCATCTGAATATCTGAGTATCTTAGTATCTGTGTATCTGAACTCCGACTTTGTCAATGAGCCCACGTTCCGACTCCGACTCCGAGTCCAAGTCCGACTGCTATATCCCTTCCTGGCCGCTGGCAGGGATCAGCAACTAGTCGCGACCCCGCTCCCAAAAGTTGACGAACGCTCAATTTTACGCTAATTCGATCAGAATCAAAATCAAACAAAATTAGCCTGTCCATAGCCGGCAAAAGCGATGATGATCCTCTTACACTGGTCAGCAATGTTGAAAAAATGGAAAATAAAGAAGGAAAAAAGTATGCTTTTTAATGAATATTTTGTTTTGAATTTTTCCGCCTGTGAATATTTGTTTATAACTACCTATTTATTAATAAATACTTTAGCCTATACATTTTTCTTCTTCTAAATATGATCCTAAATGGTGTGTTGCTATTTAGGGATATATAATCCATCAAAAGGTCTAAAAATATTTAAGTTTGGTAAATAAATTGTTTATAAATAATAAAGTAATGGTAAATAATAATGTTTATAACTAACTAATTTATTAAAAAATACTTTAGCCTATACATTTTTCTTCTTACAAAAAATGTCTACATATAATGGTGTGTATTAAGGGATATATGAGCCATCAAAAGGTCTATAACTATTTAAGTTTGGTAAATAAATTATGTTAGTAAAGTATTTTCATAACCCAAACAAGTATATTTTGATCAAGGATAAAGATAAAAACAAGTGGTGTTGGGCAGTGTTTTGATTGGGATTGACAATGGTGATTAGGAGTATTGGAATGATGACGCTGCTAATGGTAATCATGATGATTGTTGTTATTACTGCCTGCTTCTGCTTCTGTCTGATGTTTTCAGTTCTCAGTTTTCAGTTCGCAGTTCGCAGTTTGCTCTCCTCCTACGGTGGCAGTAAAAATACCGAGACCCCGACTCCGACTGAGCATAATTTATTTCCTGTTTGGCATTATGCATCCCCATTATTTGTGCATTCATCAAGAGACGGGTCCGGGTTTGAGTTTGGAGCCAATCTGCATTCAAGTTACTCCTGCACAGCGAAAAATATAATCAATATGTATATTCTTGATCTACTAAATTTTACAAGAAATATTTATATCTTTTGAAATCGACAGTCATACAAAAACCGGATTCATTTGAGAAGATTAATATAGTTTTGATTGGTTTGGTTTTAGCAATATCATATTATTATCATATTTATTTACTATATATTTATATTTTATTTATGATCCTTTTTAATATTAATCAGCCTTAAATCAATTTGACACAAGATGAAGAAAAATATTGTAAGTACACAGACTTTTTGGGCAGTGTAATTTGATGTTGCTGCTGCACTTTTCGGTAGTCGCCGCGCGCTAAATTGTGGCCACCGAACGAGGGCCAAGTGAAGACTGGAACCTGGTCCACTGGCATTGCCACTGCCACTGCCACGGCCTATCAATTGTCAGCAATTTCGCGACTGCATAAACTTGAAAAGAGCGCAAAAAAAAAACAGAAAAAACGAAAAACGAAAACTACATGCCGACCAACTGCATAAATATGGCGACTGGCTGACGGAAATGGCCGTCGCGGTTGCAAGTGACAAATAGCCGGGCAGCGTGGGGTTAAGCGGGGCCCCAACGGGTTAAGGGGGCGGCACTGAACCAGTTGACCACCAAATAAAGACCGCGAACATATGTTTCTGGCCGGCATGAATATGGCCAACACCAACTCCGAAAAGAGGCTGGACTTTTGACCCCGAAAAATTATTTGGAGGCGGACTGTGTTCGAAATTGTTATGAATAATCGGAAACACATAAATGCTTTGTTATAAATATTTTCACATATCCGCATTATGACTTATTAGTAAGCTACAAAATGTTCTAACGATTGTCAAAGAATTAGACTACAAGAAATTCGAATTAAAAATAAATAAGCAATTTTTGTTAAGACCTTTTTAAATTTAAATGGAATCTTACAAAAATATTTGATGTTTATATTTGGATGTTTTAATAAATAATGTTATAATAAAATGGAAAGGAAAGTCTTGCTGAAATTGCATGCCAATTTTATTTGAGTTTACAGCTTAGTATGTTAAAACAACAAAATATTCTTGATCTAGGCTTTTTTTGTCCTTAAAGGTATTTATATGTTATTTAACTAAAATCAATTGGCTTTAAACTCAATGTACTCCCTGCTGTGATAACCGAATTCCCATTTTAGCTGCACAAAAGTATGCGAATCAATTTTGACTTCAGACAGCAGCAATATCAATTGCACTTGCAGCAGCAACATCGGCAACATGAGCAACATGAGCAACATGACCCGAGGTGGCGACACTTTATTTAGCTTTAAAACTTTTATGGAATGCAAATTTCACTCAGCTGTTGCTTCTGGTGTCGCTGGGCTGTCCTGGGATCTGGCCAGGATTTCGGGGATGGGAGTCGGATGAGGAGGAGGAGGGAGGAGGGACAGGGCCAACAGCTTGGCTGCAACTGCAACTGCAACTGATGCTGCATAATTTAGTTGACCAATTTACACTGGAACCGTTGGCCACTGAGTGCAACCGGAAATGCAGGCACCGAAAAGGCCAAAGCATTTTTGTGGCCTTTTCCATACACACACACTCACACACACACGGAGTGTAGAGTGTGTGTTTTTATTTTCATCCTTTTTTGGGGTCGACCGCCTGCACTTGACATATTTACTCTCAATGGCCATTTGTAAATCGTCTCTGGTTGAAATCGGAAATGGGATTCGGGGGCTTAAAAAGGCGACACCAGGGTCAAAATAGCCAGTCACTTAACGTTTATTTAGTAGCATAATTAGTGGAGGTGCTGTTCCTCCATCGATATTTAAAGTTTTATATAGCATTAATAACTACAATAAAAATATAAGATATAATTGTTATTATCACATTTAAAGAGTTTTTTAAAAGCAGTACTAAATCTCGAAAAATACAATTAAAGAACACCATTTGAATATAATTAAAGTGTTATTTAAGCATTACTCATCTGTTCGAATTTCATAAATATGTCTGCCTTGTTAAACAAAAAGATTGTTTGTATTTCCTCATGTCATAACCCTGCGAATCTTGTGTGGTAACCTCAAAGGAGTGGTGACCCCTCAATGCGGATATGCAACAATGCGGTAATCTCGATCTGAGAAGTAATGGGGGTTTTCTCCCTTTTGATGAAACTGCGGACCAAACTAATTCCAAGTGGTTGCTAACACGATTAAAAACAAATTTCACCTACGCACAATCTCCCATGAAGTTCGCTGCCTGCCAAGCCATTAATTCGCTGGAACTGTGTGCACTGAGCAAAATCCATACCTCTAAGGATTTGTGATTCGATTCTCTAAAAATCTGCATTCA